GGCCGGGAGCGCGGGCCTGCGCGCCCCTTTGCCGGGCCGGGCATTGGTTGGCCCCCCAGGCCCGGCGGTCCCCGGGGAGGGGGCCCGGGGAGCTGGCTTGCGCAGCCGCCGCGATGCTTTCAGCCACGTCCCCCGTGAGCGGGGAAGGGGCCCGTGGGATTTCACCGGCTGCAGCTGCGGGGAGCATCGGGGCGAATCCCCGGCCGGGGGTGGGGGGGGGGGGGCTATTTTGGACCCGGCTGAGACAGGGCCGAGCAGCTGCAAGGCGGCCGCGGGTCTCGAGGGAGAGGAAGCACATTCGCTGCTGCTTCCTCCGGCCTTTCCTCCTTCCCCGGGCGGGGGCGGCCGCTCCTGCCGGAGGCCTTAGAGGAAGCAGCGGGGCCTGCCCGTGGCCCCAGGAGCCCGCCTGCGGCCGGCCCCGAGGGGCTTCCAGGCCCAGACCTTCGGCCCGGGCAGCCTCCCCGTCCCCTGAGGCGGCTGCAAGTTGCTGCCAGCGGAGGCCGGGTAACCCAGGGGCGGTCAGGGAGCCGAGCGTGAATGCCCTCGGGTGGCGCAGGCAGCGGAAGTGCCCCGGGGCCGGGCCGGGCCGGGCCGGGCCAGCTGCGTTCGCCACGGCAAACCACCGCGTCGGGCCGCTGCCCACGCCCCGGCGGGCTGCTACGGCTCATCGGCCGCTCTTCACCTGTCGGGATCAGCATCAGGCCGACAGGCGCCGAGGCCCTACTGCTCCCAGGGTGGAGGCCCAGGACGGGCAGAGGCCTGGGAAACCCTCCTGCAGCTCGGCCCCTGCCGCAGGACCCCAGGCCAGGCCTTGGCTGCGGCGCTGCGCGTTTCCAGCCACACCTACCGTGGGCGGCTTCTGGAGTGGGTATCTGCAGACTGGGCAGAGCGCACCGCACAGAGCTGCCCCCGGGGCCAGGCTCACGTCCCGCTCCCCACCCTCCCAGCAGCTGGGACAGCGGAGCCCCGGGAAGCGCGGCCTGGTGTTACAGGTGCCCGGGGCACGGCCCTGCCCCTTGGCAAACGTGCGTGCCCCAATGCCTCCCGCTGGCTCCGCAGCCGGCGCGGCTGATGCGATGCAGGTGCCCGGCGGGACGCGCGTCGACACGGTGCCACCTGCTGGTCACCAGAGGGCGCGGAGCAGCCCCCGCGCTGCTGGGGGGCAGCCGCTTTTGGGGGGGGGGGAGCTGGTGGCTGAGTGGAGCAAGGGGACATGCTACCGGTCTCCCCGGGCCCTGAGCAGGGGAAGACCGGGCTTCAAAGCGAGAGCCCCGGGACCTGGGAGTGGGGCAGCCAGCCGGCCACAGACCCACTCGTGGCCCAGCCACGCGCCTCTCGTGCAGCAGCAGGAGGCAAGGGGGTCTCCACAGCTTTGCTGCAGACGGCAGAAGGTGCAGGAGGGCCTGCGCGTGCCTTCTGCGGGCGGCCGAAGCCTGAGTGCGCTGGATAGAAATGGGGAGGCCGCTGGCGGAGGCCGGATCCCCTCTGGAGATCCGCATTGCCCTGTGCTGGGATCTAGATCCACCCCCAGAGCCCAGCTCTGCACTGGGGGCCCAGGGGCTGTCCTTGGTGGGGTGCGCGTGGCTGGCTGTGCTGGGAGCATGGGCTCATGCACAGAGTGCATCTAGTGCTCCCTGTGCAGGGAGGGGTCGGCGTGGGGACCTCAACGTGGTCTGGGCATGGGCTCGTGCCAGCAGGACACACTTGGCAGCTGCAGGCCCAAGGGAAGCCAGAGATGCCTGGGTCCTGCTGCCACTGCCCCGGCTGGAAGACCAGAGCTGCTCCCTGGCGCTGCTAGAGATGCAGCAGCTGCCGGCGCATCAAGGAGGAGACGAGCCCGGAGGTTTCAACCAAGTTTACTGCCAGCTCTGTGTGCACCAGGGAAGTGGATGTGACCTCCACACCCATGCATGACCCCCAAATACTTATGCAGCAAAGACATGAGCCCGGAGAGTTGATTGAGTTTATTGCCAGGTCCAGGTGCACCGGGGAAGTAGATGTGTCCCCTCACTCATGCATGACCCCCAAATGCCCGTGCAGCGTTGGTGCCGGCTGCAGCTGGCAGGCCTGAGGGCAGCACTGGCTGGGGTTGCAGCAGGAGCTTACGTGCAAGCGGCCAGGGATATTGCAGCCCGCTGGTGCAGGGGCTGGGCTGGGGCCGAGCGCTGGAAGCAGTGCCCTACAGCAGTGACTCGCCCCTTGCTGCAAAGGAAGCTGATGGGAGAGGAGAGGGGCAATGTGCCCGGAGCTCACCTGGAGACCCCCCAGCCCCAAGCCTCCAGGGCAGATGAGGTGCCCGGTAACTGCATGCTCCCAGCCCTCCCTGGTTGGGGATGACGGTCCCCTAGTTGCCCCCTTGGAGTGCTTGGCTGCCCAGGCTGTGCGGAGAGCACCTGGGGCTGTGTTGCTGCTGTCGTGAGAGTCAGGGGCTTGGGGGCCAGGTCAGGGCTGTGGGCTCCCCTGTAGCGAAGGGCACAGACAAGCCAGGCACTGGAGTGGGCAACTGCACAGACTCTCCTGGACAGACGGACACCCAGGACAGACTTGCTGAGTGGGGGGAAAGTTCTGCCCCTGGGCACTGTGGAGGAGGTGTTCTCTGCACACAGCCAGGGAGGAGATGGGTGCAGGGAGCGAAGCGGTGAGGGGAGCCGGGGTCTTCTTTGTCACCTCAGCAGCCTCCTTTGTCCCGGTGTCAAGAGCAAAAATGGGTCCAGCATAAACCAAGGGGAGCCAGAGCCCAGCGAGGGCCACCGCAGCCTTCCCCCCAGGCCGGGAGAGCCAGCATCTGGCCCTCAGAGCAGAGCTAGCAGGGCAGGGGCCAGCAGGAACAGCCAGGTGCCAGGCCCCGGCGTGGGAGCCCCGCCAAGCCGGGCGTAGTACTCGGCAACGGCCACGTTGGGGTTGGCCTGGGCGCTGCTGAACCACATCTGGATGCAGCGCCCGCTGCCCTGGCGCTCTGTCGTGTATTTGTAGGATCCGGACCACAGCTTCTCGCACAAGTCAGCTGGCCGAGGGAAGACCAGCTTGAAGGGGCGGCACTCAGAGGCCCGGGGGCACTGGTTGCTTCCTGGAGGGGCAGAAGGGGATGGGCAGCAGCTGGGACAGGATGGACCCCGTGGGTCTTTCCTTTGGTCTGGCTGCAGGAAGTGATGCCTCCTTCTCCCTAGGACCGGGTTCTCCCAGCCTCCCAATCCCTGCTGTGCATGGGCCCCTAACTGTGGGACTAGTGCTGTGTGGGTGGTCTTGCAGGCTACCAGCTGGCAGGGCTAAGTGACTTGCCCAAGGCTACCTGGGCCATCGGTGGCAGAGCCAGGAAACAGCCCCCGCTCCTGCTTGCTACTACATGGGGAATCATGGCAGGGATCTTGGGGCCAATCTAAAGGCAGGGAGGAGGATGGTTTGGTCAAGAGCATCATCTGTAGTGGGTGCTAGGCCCTAGACCAGCCTTGACCCCTGGCCTCAGCACGGACCCCCCCTCCCTCCCTCCCTCCCGTGTGGCCGGCCCTGCCTGCAGCCAGCTCGTCTGGTCCTGTCCCCGGGGCGCTCGCTGACCTGTCGTCCAGTTCCAGCCCTTGTGCCAGTTCTCCTTGCAGGTGTAGGAGTCCTGGCAGTCGTCCCACCACTTGTCGCAGTCCTCCTTGCACAGTGGCACATTCATGAGCCGCTCCCGGCGCCAGCTGCTGTCCGTCTGCGGGGGCGCGGGGCTGTGAGCCTCGGGGCACAAGCCCAGGGCTGCCCAGTCCCCCCCACAGGAGCCCCGGGGGCTGCCGGGAAGCCAGAGCCCCATGGCATGGCACTCGGTGGGGCAGGGGGCAAGGAACTGAAACAGGAGAAGCTTGGGACCTCACCCCACAACCCCAGTTCCCTGTCTGAGCTGCTGCTCTGCTTTCTGCTCCCTGCCCTATCAGCCACCGTGCTGCCTGTCCCCTCTCTGATCCACTGCACGCCACGCACAGAGCCTGCTGTATCACATGTGGCACCTGTGCCACAGGTTGGCCACCCCCAATCTTGCCAAGGCCTCACTGAGCAGAGCGGCACCGTCCCAGTCCATGTCTGCCCCTCAGCCCTGCTGGTGCAGCCTCAAAGCCCGATGCTAGTTTGGGCGGCCGTGTCCCTTGGTCGACTCGTGCCGAGCCCGTGACCCACCCTCTCCCAGCTCCTCTGGCCCAGGCTGCTGCCCCCCGCCCTCCTACCTTCACGATCCAGGGCCCCAGGTTGGGGGAGCACTCGTAGAGGCAGGTGTCCTGGATGAAGTGGCGCTTGCACTTGTCCTTCATGCCCCCGCAGTGGTTCCAGTTGAATGAGTACAGGTAGGACTGGTCTTTGTGAGCCTCTGTGCTGGTGTTGGCCGTGCAGCAGGCGTTGTCCTTCCAGGGGGTGCACTGCCAAGGGAGCAAAGGGCCCAGTGGGTGCATGGCTGTGGGGGGCAATGGCAGCAGTGCTCCCTAGTGGTGGGGGCAGGATTGCACCCGCGTCTCAGGGGATGGGGGCAAATCTGGCTCTTCTCCCTAGGGGAAGCCGCGAGGCTGCAGTGACAAGCTGGGAGCACCAGAGCAGGACTGGGGGGGATGGGGGCATGCAAAAGGCAGAAAGGCCGGAATTTATGAATGGGGGGGGTCACAACATTTATGAACGCGCAGGCTGCCAGTTTAAAACTTAGCAGCAGGAAGTTCGTTTCCCACAGCGTGACATTCAAATTGGGGAACGCATGGCCACCAGATGTGGTGGAAACTGCGAGTTCAGCCCGATTCATCCAGGGACCAGACACGTGCTTGGAGGAAAGGGGCATTGGTGGCTATTGGGCAAGCGGGTGAGGGCATGGCCTCTGCATCAGAGCTTCCCGGACCTTCAATGCTGAAGGCTGCAAGAGGGAGAGGAGCAGGGGAAAACCCCGTTCCCGCTCCCTTCCGGCCTCTGCTCTCTGCACCCGCGTGACAAAGGGACCGGGCAAGATGGACCCAACCGCGGTTCTTACGTTCCCCCAAATGCTGCTGGCACTTCCTTTCTCTTCAGGCGCTAATTTTCCAACCACAGGCAAGGCAGACCCCTAAATGGGGGCAGGTGCCTGCATCCCTCTGTAAGGCCAGCATCACCTGGGGTATCGCTGAGCCAGTGGGAGCAAAGCCAGGGCTCTGGGTGTCTGTCCCCCACGAGGGAGCAGGGAGTGCCAGGACCCCTGCTCGGGTGGCAGAAGGGGCCCTGTATAGCAGCCGGGTTGTGCTCGGTTTGTCACGGGAGTCTCCCCCGGGGGTCAGCACGGCTGTCCTCGAAGGCTGTGACAGCTGGCCACAGAGCCAGACCCCAGGACCTGGGGTTTGCCATGGCCCGAGGCACCCGGGGTGGGCAATGACAGCCCCCTTACCTGGTTGTGCAGCTCCCCCTCCGGCCCCGGCTTGGTCTTGTGGTGCTTGGCGTCCATGCACACGTTCAGCATGTCCTTGGTGGCCTCAGTGGCGTAGGTGGCCAGGAGCCCCAGCAGGACCCACCGTGCTGCCATCTCCCTGCCACGGAGCAAGGGGAGGATGGTTAGAGCCCATGTGGGCTGGAGGGCCGTGGCATCCAGCGCCATTCGCTCCCACCTGTGGGCACCCTCCGGTGACGCAGGATCAGGCGCTCGCTGAGGTCCAGGGATCTTGGCCAGATACTACTGGGCTTGAGCCAGGGACACGGCCGGCCCCAGCCACGTGCAGGGAGCAGCACGCCCGGCCAGGGTGGACTTGCCCCAGTGAAGCGGTGGAACGGGGAAGGGTTTTGCTGGCACCGCCAGACACCCGTGCCCCCTATCCTTGGCCGCCGGAGTGGGCAGTGGGCTCTCCTGGGTCGCCCTCGCCCCGTCTACCGGTTTAGCCACTTCCCAGGTCTCGGCTCCCGTGTGCATGGGAGGAATCAATCGCTGAGCTTTCCCCCCATACCAGCCGGGGGCTCGGGGCAGCTCCTCCTGCCCCGTCCAGTCCTTCCCCCTGTCCGCAGGTGGGCTGTCCAGCCATGCAGGGTACCCCCGTCTCACCCACAGGGCCCTACACAGCTGCACGAAGCAAATCTTTTTCTCAGCCACCTATTTTGCTAGAAGCTGCCCCCTGCCCTTTGGCAGAGCTCAGCGGATCCAGGATACGGCGGGCTCACTCCGATAAGACGCGTTCTCCTTGAAATGCCACCCCCCATGCTCCGGCTTGTCCGACCCCTCTCCCACCCACCCCAGAAGAGCCAGCACCCAGCCAACCTTGCTCCTTGCATCGTCCCCCGACCCCCACGGCTAAATCAGCCCGCCCAACCCCACCGCTCCCCACCCATGTGGCGTTTGCTAAGCGCCCTTGAAAGCTGCCAGGCGCTGGGGGCAGCTGGCAGCCGGGGCAGAGCGAGCCGACTGGGCACCTCCATCAGGCTCCAGATATCAGCTAGGAAGTTACCTTGAATGCAGGCGACCCAAAGGCAGGCAGAGAGCTGGGGGCACGGGGGCAGCCGGCAGCACCGATCCCGAAGTGAGCCTGCTTCCCATCTCAAAGGTCAGCTCCCTGCCCAGCCCTTGGCCAATGATTATAAGGGGAGTCCCCCTGTGCCCAGCACCGTGCCGTGAACTTTTTTCTTTGCTCCGCACCATCGTGGGAGATAAGGAGGATGAAGGACGCCTTGTGCAGGCGTCGGGCCACCATGGCGCCGATCCAGGGAAAGCACAGAGGCTGATCCCCTGCCTGGAGAGGTGGGGGCCAAACATTGCTGCATAATCTCCAAATCTTGAACGATAACAGCCAACACCCGCAAAGCAAACACGGGCACCCGGGAAGAAATGAACCCAACAAGCCAAAAGCCAGGGATTGAGTCCAGGCCTCCCTCCGCTGGCGATTAATTTGGAATCAGCTCATTGAGGAATAAAAGCATGAGTTAGTTGGCTATACAGGACTATATAAGCCATTGGCGGCGGGAAGCTACATTACCGGTCGTGCAGTGCCACGAATGGACGTGCCTCCCCGTGTGCCCTCGCACAGTGCTCTGAGACCGAGCTCGATTGCATCAGGGAAGGGAAGGAGATACCACAATCCTGCCCAGGCCCCAGTCATCATGGTTTTGCCAAAAGGAGAAATAAAACTGCGAGCCCTGCAGATTTTTGTTTTGTGCTAGAGCTGAACGGTCCTTGCTAAACACTTCTTAAAACAGTAGAGTGGGTAAAGCACGGCACAGGGTACAGCCGGGCCCTGGATGGAGCTAGCAAAGCTTTGGGGGAGTTTGGCTGGCTGCACCCCAGTGCTAGGAGAGCCTCAACTGGACCACACGGGCAGGTTTTCCCTTTTTTATCCTGCAGGAAAAATACTAGCGCCATCCTCCCGTGGCAAATAGCTCAGGTGGCCGCAGCATGGCAGCCGGGTTTGGAACCTCTGGATCCCTGCTGGAAATCTCTGGGTTTCTCTCGTGAATCCTGCGCGGGTGTTTGCATGCCAAACTGTGCTTGTATTGTGCTGCACCCTTAAAAGGATCTGACAAAACCCCGGTGGAGGAACACCGGGATGAAAAGGGACTCTCGTCTCTGCTCACGCACCCGGCTGCGCGGAGCGACAGCTCCAGGAGGCCGAAGCAGCTTGCACGGTGGCTTTTTAACCCCCAGAACAAAGGCAGGGGAAGGAAGAGGAGCAGCAGCGGAAGCAATCGGGAAGAGCGGAGAAGATCCAGGGGAGAAGGCTGGCGTGTCCCATGCCAGAAAGGAAGGCGGGCTGGCGGGGCATCGCTGCACCGGCACGGGGCGGAAGTGCACGCTCCGGCACGCGGGTTGCAGCAGTAGCAGGCCTGGCACAGCGTCGAGGAAGAGGAAAGGGAGCCAGGTGGGGAGAGCAGAGGGCCTGCCTCACAGACACCGAGCTGTCTGGCCGGCACAAGTCGGAGCCGGGGAAGCAGTCATAGCATTAACAGGATGGGCTGAGGACAGAAAAGGCCCATCACCACCTCAGAGAGGGGGAGGGAGATGCTCCCTGATGACAGAAGGACCTTACTGGGCCCATTTGAGGGTTGCAACGTGATGGGGGCACAAAGGCGGGTACCCCTGGGATGTGATGGTCCCGGCGAGGGGTTGTAGCCGGTGGCTGCTTTGGTCCCATCCTCTCCCAGGGAGCGCAGGGGAAAGGGCTGGGTTTTTCCCAGCCACCCTCTCCATGGATCGGGGCAGCTCAGGTTAGAGCTGGCACAGCAGGAGACGCTGCATGGTGGCCAGGGAGCAATCTACTGATAGTCTAGAGGCTGTAAAAGGGAAAAAGAAAGAAAGCACCATCCAAAATAACCCCCTCCCGCCACGCCCCAGGGCCCAAGCAAGGAGAGGCTTGCGTTCTTCCTCCACCCAGAGAAATGTTTTGCACTTGAAAGCTCGCCTCACTGCCTCCCGGCCGCGCAGTTGGTCCAACAGGCAATCTCACCCCAAGAAACCCTCGCCCCCCGCGTAACCTTCAGCCCGTCACGGCCGCAGCATCCCGCTAGTGCTACTTGCAGGCGAGCAGGGAGGCCTGGAGAGAGCCAAGTGCAGAATGAAGACTGCCTGGCAGGCCAGGGCTGTCCAGACCAGGTCACACTCCAGCCCCTTCTTGGAGAAGCCCCAAGCCTTTGTATAATGCTGGTAGGGGCCGATCCCCAGGGGGTATTGCCAACTCCAGGGCCTCGAGATGGTGATTTCACCACCTTTCTTGACACACCCCAGGTGGCACCGGCTTTCTTTTTCAGAGGCACAATGCTGCTGACGGGCTCAGCCTGACCGGTGATAACGCCCAGTGCCTTCCCGCCAGAGCTGCTGGCTACCCAGCCCTACGGTGCTCTGCCCTCATCCTTACGGCCTCACATCCTATGGATTTCAAATCATTTCTCTAGCTTGCCCAGACCCCTCTGAATCCTGATCCCAGAAGCCTTCCTCAGGTCCAGGTACATCACATCAGCTGCCCGATCTCCCCAGCTGCCCCCGGCACCAAAGGAAACCATGTGGCCTTGTTCTTAATGCACCCATCTGCCACTTGTCACAAACTGATGGTCGGATGATGTGTCCCAGCCTCTTCCCAGGAACTGCAGCGAGGCTGAGCGGTTGTAAAGCCTCCGATGCCCCTCTCCCCGCTTCTTAAGGACAGACACTCTTGTTTTCTCCTTTCCACCGGAAACTCCTCTGCCCCCAGCCTCCCCCGGCTCCGAGATTACCCCAGCCAGGCTGAAGTTCGCTGCTTTGAAAGCCGCTGACTTATCTCAGCAATCTCAAACCTGCTCATGCCCTGCCAAGCCGCAGATCTTGCTCCCTTATCACTGATGCAATGTGTATCGGCCATGGGATCACAGTTCACCCAGCATGTGAGAAATGCAACCCTTTGGCTTCCTTGCAGTATCAGTGATGAGCCTTGCAGGGCCCCCGGACTTGTCCTCACCCCGACTGATCAACCCCGTTTCTGCTTTGGTATTTCGGGTGACCCCGGGCAGCGTGTACCACATTTAGTCTCTCACTGCACTCCCTGCCACGGGACAGCTGGCCCTCATGTCTTTCCAATGCCTGGCACAACATCTGGCTGCGGGGACGCACTCATCAGGGGTCCTCCTTGCCATGCCAGCTTGTCCCCACCCCTGTGGCTCACCCTCGGTGTCCGCTGGGCGTAGGTAGATGTCACCAGGGCAAGTGGATCCTTCCTCTGCCGTCTCCTCCTCGCTCTCCCGCTCTGCCCAGGAGCGTCCAGGCTTTTATAGCAGCCTCTGGCAGGAAGATGCCCACGGGGGCACCCCCATCTCCAGCCACAACCCTGCGTTTCATGCTGCGATCCCCGTGCACTGGGTATTGCAGACGCTTTGTGATGCAAGCACAGCCAGAGTTAGCCAACAGCTCGGGAGGAGCCGTCTGCCTCCAGATACCCCGTCACTTCCTCGCTCGTGGGGCGAGCGCTAGGGCAGCCCGAGAACCGGGATGGGGCCAGCCTGGGCACTGAGCCACCACCTCATCAGCATCCCTGGATGCACTAGCCATTTCCCCAAGCAGTTGTTTAACGCCGGCTATAGATGCTCCATCTCTTTGCCCTAGATCCAAAACATGCTGCAGCTGGGGCAGAGTTTCTTGAGGCACCTGGTTTTCCATCGGGGCAGGTGAATAGCAACCGCAGACCTCCTGGCTGGCACATCCGTGGCCAGTGACTTCTTAATGATGAGTCTGGAAGGGACCAGCGGGTTGATGGGTCACAGCCAAAGTGCTGCATAACGTCTCTGTGGCCCGTCTCAAACAGGGTGCGATCAGCCCTCCCTCCATGGAGCCCAACAGATGGCATCCCATTGTCCCATAGGATCAGCTCATTCATGCCAGAAGGGCTGCAATGGATGTCCAAAACCCCCACCCTTCCTGGTCCCTCCCCAGTGTTGTGAAATGGGGAAGCTGGAAAGTGCAAGGCATGCACAACGCAGGCTGCTTCAGCCGGGAAGAAGAAGGGCCTCCCCAAGCAGGAGGGTCTGGCTGGAGATGGTGCAAAGTCGGGCTGAATGGTTGACACCCCGTGCAAAGCATGATGGG